GCTCAACTGCCTCTACAGAGGCAGATTCAGATTACCAATATTTGATGGACAGTTCCTTGGCTTGGCCCATTCAAACTGGCTGATATAATGAAAGAACCAATTCAACCATAAAAAATGTGGCAAACATCCAAAAGTCTCCCTCGTTTGGATCTTACTTTCATATTCTCACATGGACTGCATGATTTGGGAATTTGTCTTACTACATGTAAGAGATTTTGTTTGAATCTGAGAGGTCATGGGTTGGAATTCCAGGCGTGGATCAGATTTTTTTCTTAACCCCACACTTGTGACATACTGAAAATTAGTTTCATGGCCTTTATTTCACTAGCAAGTTAATGGTTTATCTTAAAACTTTGTATAGCCCATGTACACAGAATGGTATATAATCTTTGCTTTGTGCTCTGACAAAGCATTCTCAAATTTAATGCACCACCGAACTACTTACTGCAGATGTTCATTAGTTAATAATCCAGCTTTCAATTTTATTTACAACAATCCTGGCAAAACATGTTTGCTACATGTAATGTTTAATCACAATGTGTAGTAAATAAGTTAGTTGTAATAAAATTATGACTTAGGCAGACAATGTACAATTACCTAGTAAGTAGCCTGGTGTTTAAAATTTCATCATCTTTGGTGACGTAAAGTAACTTGGAAGGAAGCTTCATTCTATTTTGCATTCTTTGCCAGAAACTGGTCCATGTCGTGCTGCCTTTCTCAGATGGTATTATAACATCAGTTCTGATAAATGTGAACAGTTTACTTATGGAGGATGTGGTGGTAACGAGAATAACTTTGATACAAAGGATGAGTGTGAAGGAAACTGTACCACAAATACTGGCAAACAAGGTTTGTATGTGTACTACACACTTTTTATGAGTAAAAGGGACATATGAGGAAAAAACCCTGACTTTTTGGTTGGTATTCTGACCATTTTTTTGTGGCACTAAGAATGGATGATTTTTGGTAACCTTTGTTTTGGAGAATTGTTTCTTTCACATTTTGGTATAAATAAACTAGCCTTCTTTCAGGAATTCCATTCTCTTATTGGCTACACTGCTCATTATCTATTTTGTTGTAGATAGTGGGTACTGTAGCTATTTCTATGCGTGATTGTTGGCTCTGGCTGTGCCCTCATCACTATCATACGGTAGAAATCTTGTAAATAAATCTAATTATTGTTATATATCCATGTGTTCCTGAATGTAGTAGCATTTTGATTACAGTTACCCTTTCTGTATATTCAAGATAAAGAAACAATTTTCCATCATACATGTATATTATCTAAAACTGGAGATAAAACATAGATCTGTGGTCCGTTAACACACTAAAAATTGGTATAGGTAATCGTATGAATGCGAGTGCAATAATTATGAGT